CTCGGAGAAAATAAACGCTCGGGCGTTTATTCGAGGGGGGGGGGTTTTTTTTTTTTTTTTTTTTTTTTTTTTTCAAATGAGGCTGCATATGGAGTGTTTATTCGAAGCAGGGCGGGCGTTTATTCGGATAATAAATACGGTCAATACAGTTTATTTTTATACTCCCTGGTTCTACACAATTTTTCTATTGGGTCCACAAAGTATAGGCCCACATTTTGAAAATGGGCCCAGAATTCGATATATTGTGTAAAATGGGTCAACTGTTGCGTAAAATGGGTCCAGATTTCTAATATTTTGCGTAAAATGGATCAATTATTAAGAAAATGGGTCCAGATTATTCATATTTTTGCGTGAAATGGGGCAACTTTTAAGAAAATGGGTTCAAATTATTCTAATTTACACGTAAAGTGGGTCCAACCTAATTGTCCTACAGTGTTTGAAAATCCTGGCTATGGCATTGAATTGAATTGAATATACGGTACTGATTTTTGAATAGGCCTATTTAAAAAACTTGTGGGGGCGAGAGAGGTGGAAAAATGGTGGATACACCCCTTTTTACCCCCAGTTTTTAAATATTCATAAATCTTTATTTCATTGACCTTTCCCAAGCTTTTCATCACATCATCCTTTTTAAGTTTTAAAAAGGTCTGTTCATATGTTGTACAACATCAACATATCATTTTCTCTCCGGATTGTTTCTATAATGCCCTAATGGCGCTTCATATTGACTAGTTTTGCTGTTCTCGAATTAGACTTGCTTGTACTGACGCCCTGTGGTCTTTAAATTTTATCGATAACAAAATGGCGATGCATCATAGGTCGCAGGGTAATCCTCGGAAGAAAGTACAGGTGGGTTTAATGTGCAATATACATCGAATGTAACTAGGCCTAGATTATTATATAGTTTTAGAAGATGTGATTCCTATCAATTTAGCAGGCCTAGTATGTGCATATATAGCTAGGCCAGCTGCCGCGGGGTTAATGTCAAGTTAAGCCTAGCTAGGTGTAGGACTCACTCAGGTTGGGCCTAGCTAGTACAAGTAGGCCTCTGGGGGACTGGGGCCTAGCCTAGCTAAGTAGGCCAAGAATGTGTAGGCATGCCTTCCTGATCTTTTGGCTATGCCTGTAGGCCTAATGGGTAGGCATGAGGAAGTTCAGACTTTTGAGGAATATAATAATGTGGTGTGCCTTTTGATTTTGTATCTAACTAAATGAATGTATGAAAACATTTTAATTGTCTAAACTCATATCTAGGCTAGGCTAGGCCTAATTAAACTAAATTCTAAGTTTTATTTAGGCCTAATTTTGTTTTGGTTCTCTTTTGCATAATTGTCTTTTTATATATTACAATAGATAGGGCCTAGGCCTACTATGATCTTTATAAACTTAATGTAAATAATTATCAACTGAATGCAAATTTTATATTTCTATATATATTGTATACAATATTGATGAAATAATAATTTAGATTTTTTAATGATTAATTTTATAATAATTGAATGTTATTTTAATTTTCTATGTAATTTAATGGTTTTGTTTATTTTATTGTGATTTTTGTATGCTTGTATGTTATTGCTATCTACACACAGTGGCGGCGCGGGGGAAGGGGGCTTAATCCCCCCATCGGTGTGGTCAAGCCCCATCTGTGTGGTCCAACTGTTGGACCAAAAAAAAAATAGGCCTAGTTTTCCCATCCCAACCATTTCCGGCCATCTAGAAGTCCCAATTTTTTTTTTTTTAATCTTGTTTTGGGGGGGAGGGGACATCCCCTCCCATACCCACCCCTGGCCTTCAGCCCTCAGATAACGCTGCGCGCTATAGTTACACCTATAAATACTTAGCTCCCCCCAGTCGTACATCTTAGGCCCCCCCCCCATAAATTATATCCTAGAGCCTCCACTGTCTCTATATTTAAAAAAAAAACTATTGTAAATATCATCACAATTCATTCATTCTAATTCTTATATACATATGACTTACCACACCACAGTATTCAGCTTTAATATACATGAATTACGTTTACGTATTTGTCTGACCAGAGTCTGATGATGACGTGTGAGTCATCAAAACATGTTTTTAAAGCCAGGCACTCAACTACGCACAATAGTCTGCGGCCGACGCGATTTTATGGAGAACGCCATGACGCACACACAACATATCATTTTTATTGACAATCCTTTCAGACTGCTACCGACAATCAGCACACGGTGTCGCGTCATCTAACGCTCACACGGGAGCGGAGTTGGATTCGTCGGTCGGTCGACAGTCATACTATTGTCGTACGATGCTGTGAGCTTTAGTATAGTTCATTGTAATTCAGCATTACTGCCAAGAAGTATTTTAATTTGAATTGAATAAACTGTTTATTTATCTAAAGGCACTATAAACTGTTTATCTATCTAACAGCACTATTGTGTTTTCAGCTATGTTGTATTCTCTTTCAGGTGTCATTTGTAATTCGAGATGAAACTGAAAAACAACACAGGTCTGGAATCAATGCTGTTCAGTTTGATCCGGCGATGAACCGGCTGTACACGGCTGGAAGAGACTCAATAATTAGGATATGGAACATGGGAAATCAAAATGTAAATCAAATTCAACCTCACACCTGACATATTTAAAGGAATAAATTATGTATTCAACTAATTAACTTTGAAGTATATATTATGTATTCAATTCCCTTGTATTAATTATTAATCTGTTGTTTTCCAAAAAAATATAATGTATTTCTCATCAATGATACAACTCATAAAGGAAAGCATTTTCAGTAAGTTCAGTTTGATCCGGCGATGAACCGGCTGTACACGGCTGGAAGAGACTCAATAATTACAATATAGAACATGGGAAATCAAAATGTAAATCAAATTCAACCTCACACCTGACATATTTAAAGGAATAAATTATGTATTCAACTAATTAACTTTGAAGTATATATTATATATTCAAATCGCTTTTTTATTGGTACTGTGTAGGAGTCGTATTTTCAGTCCATGGAACACCATACGGATTGGGTAAATGACATTGTATTATGCTGCGATGGAAAAACATGTATGTATTTTTTGTATACCTGTCAAATATACATTTAACATAGTATCAAAATCAATCTGCTATTTAAATTGTGCAAATATTAATCGCAGAAAATATGCCTATTAAATACACAAAACAAAATATGTTTTTGTTTTTACACACCCAGGTTATTAAAGAACCTTTCAAACTGGTTAACTTATGTTAAAATTTTATTTATTTTTACACAGTTATTTTTCAACAGTAATATTAGATGCCAGAAAATATGCATAAATACTCAAAACAAGATCTGTTTTTATTTAAACAGCCAGGGTATTACAAAATCTCTTAATTACTGGATAAATTATTTTTAAGATTTTATTTGTTTTTGCACAGTAATATCAGCATCATCAGATGCCATGGTGAAGGTGTGGAATGCTCACAAAGGATTTTGTATGTCAACATTAAGGACACACAAGGTAAGTCTGTTTCATATCCTGGTCCTACTTTAACAGACCCGTGAGTGCCATTATTATGGTGTAAAATTGTACTTGTTGACAGTAATCTACATAGTTGTAAATATTTAGTTTTTCTCTTCTTAATTGGGAATTTGAATACCTCAACCATAGAGTTTACTGATTTTCACTTTTTTTTTTTGTAGGATTATGTAAAGGCATTAGCTTATGCAAAAGAAAAAGAATATGTTGCTTCCGGAGGTCTTGATAAACAGATATTTCTATGGGATGTCAAAACTTTAACAGCTCTAACAGCAGCCAACAACACAGTAACAAGTAAGTCTACAATAGACACATTCCACTAGTTTGGTCACGTTATGTATAGTGGGTATCAATTGTAAACAGGCAGCGTGAGTGT